CACAGTGCTCTCCTTACTGCAGTGTGATTTCTGCAATCTCATTAAATGCTTTCATCATAGCTAACACAGTGAAAACATGATGTAAATTAGGTCGCTGATATTGTGAGTTTGGCAAAAAGGAGGAATCGAATCACTGATAAACTCCAGCGATTATAAAGAGATCGATCATTGATCGCTTTCTGTATGTAAAATAAAAGCAGGTTTTTTTCACCAAAAAGGTCTTTCTTTACCTCACAGACAGACATGATTGATGGACAGACATAAGTTGTTCAGAACCTCCTTGATTCCACATGACAGTGACGCATGTTAAGGGTGTGTTGAGGGGAATTGTGACGTCACAATTCACTTGATTTCAAATCTGGGCATTTCAGAAGGGTAGAAAACAATTATTCATATTTTAAACTGGGAAGTCAGTTTTGAGTCAAAACATTTGCAGTTTGTTTTTACTGTACAGTAACCTCTCATATGTGTAAATATCAATAACATTTTTATTCTCCTTTTCATAACCAATTTAATCATTATATGAAAGTTTACAATAATAAAACTTCACTTATTGTCATTAATGTTATATTCTTTTCAAATTCATATCAACATTTTATTAAAAGCATTACCACTTTTATATAAAAATATTGTCTTGTTGGTATTTTTACTACCTTTCACTATTTAAAAATATACTCAGTTTCTATGTTCTAGTCTGTTAATCTGTTTCTCTCACAGGTGGCAGATAACATTTATGGCATGTTTCACACCAGATACACTCTTCATCGTCAGGCTCTTCAGCACAAGATTGGCTACATCATTGACGTCAAGTGGGTTTTGTGTGAAAGAACACACTTATTTATTTTATTAAATCTTTATGCATTACAGCATTTCCCCAGATTTTACTGCATTTTACATGCGTACGTGTGTTTCTCTTTGTACATTAGGATTAAGGATGCTCTGGTACTAGCTGATGACAAGCTGAGTCCAGATCGCAAGATCTCAGATGCCATAGACGACATGCTAGAGTACACCAAACTCACAGGTCAGAGAAAGCATGGGTACAAATCAAGAGAAATGATTATTTAAATTATTTTGAGTTTTGTATTAAATGGCAGGTAAATTTTTGACATCATATTAAGCTGGGTACACATATGTTATGCTCTTTGTTTGCTGAAAGGTAAAATTCAATGAGCCATTTCCCCTCTCTTTGAACAGATCACGTCTTCGATCAGATCCTGAACCAGTCAGACTCAAATGCAGATCTGGCTGAAGCCCGAAGCATTCTGCAGGACGTTGTCAACAGACGGCTGCCAAAGTTTGTGGGAGAGGCCCGACTGAATGAAAAGGAATTAAAGGTACCTTACTGGTGCAATAAAACACATTTACTTTGTGTAAAAGTTAATAAGAAGATTATAATATTAAATTAAATGCAAGCAGTCAGAGTGTTACAACTGCCCCCTGTGTGTGTGTGTGTGGGGGGGGGCAATTGTAACAATACAAAATAACTTATATTAACCCACTGTATCTCAAATAAAAGCTTACCTACCTAAAGTAATCACTTTACTGCTGAAGTATCTAATAATGCTACTTAAGATTTTTGTATATGGTTTAAATTATTTTAGATGCCAGGCATCATTTGCATTCAAAAAGCAGAAGTCTATTTATATTTTTGCAGAAGAGTACATGCTACCATTCTAGTGGTAGCCAGAATAGATTTTAATCATTTAAATATATATTTTACTCAAATACATTAATCGGCTGATGAGTCAAGAACAGTCTTTAACCAAACAAGATAGACATATTAACAGAATAACCCAATGAGATCATGTGGAGATAATATTCATCGTATTTTTTATTTATTTTGTTCTAATATTAAAACGCAATACAATGTTTAATGTATAACACTAATAATTTTAAAATGCATTTTTACATTTAAATATGTTTATTTTCTAACAGAATAGTATGTCAGCACAGACAAACAAGGTGCTTACACTGGGCCAAGTTATCATTTTGCAGCCATGATAAAATCTCATATGCTAGCTTGCCACACTTATATTAGCATAGGTTGTTCATGTAATTTTTTTTATAAATAACCTAGAGATAAAATGTTTGTACATTTAAATTCATAGTCATGTAAACTTTAAACAGCAGAAGAAAAATACTTTACATTTTTACTGTACAAAATTAATACTGTACTGTACAAGGGATTGAATTTAAACAGATTTGTGTAGTTAAGTCAGATTAATGTGTGCAAATATGTGATCCCTTACAAGTCATTCACTTTAATGTCGTGTCACTGCTACTGTGGAGTGATGATCACTGAAGCCTGTATGGATTCATGTCAGTTCATTGGCATATGACACTCTGCAAATATAACTGAAGCACAATAGCATTTTAGTTCGAATTTTTTTGTCTTCAGGGTGATGATTGTCTCATCTCTTTAAGCCTAATTCACTGATTCATCATGAAATAATGAATGAGGCATTTATATAGCGCTTATTGTGTATTGCTGTACACCTAAAGCACTTTACAATCATGTGTTGGGGGGGGTGTCTCTCCTCAACCACCACCAGTGTGCAGCATTCACCTGAATGATGCGACGGCAGCCACAGCACAATGGCGCTAGTGCGCTCACCACACACCAGCTACAGGTGGAGAGGAGAGAGAGTCATAGAGCCAATCAAGTGGATGGGGATTATTAGGAGGCCATGATGGACAAGGGCCAGTGGCGGCAATCTGACCAGGACACCGTGGTTACACCCCTACACTTTACCAGAAGTGCCATGGGATTTTTAATGACCACAGAGAGTCAGGACCTCGGTTTAACATCTCATCCGAAGGATGGTGCTTTTTGACAGTAGTCAATCAATGTCTCACTTGTCCCAGACATTTATGGTTCAAAATAGCAATTTCATTATTATACATTTCTTAAGCAATTATCGATTATTCAATTATCTGCTATCCATAAATAAATAAACAAATTACGTTTACTTAAACCTTTAAATGTTTTTGCTTGGCAGATAAATTATTAAAGCACCATTCGACAAAGTAAATTCTTGACTAAAGCTTTATACTGACCAATGTTTATATATATATATACAGGTAGGTA